AATGTACTTGGAGGGGGGTGTTACATCTATGTCTTGGGGTTCGAAGCACATTTCCCCCTGTTCCGATGAGCCCAGTAGTAGCGATCCCAGCACGTCCGTTTTCCGTGGGACATTCCAGCTGTACTTGGGGGTCTTCGGTCATGGACCCCGGAGCAACGGACAGCAACGAGCAATGTACTTTAGGGGTTGGTGGGGACGCCCCCCCCCCCCCCCCGAGCATTGGTTGTTGGGGGCAGTGGTCTGGTCTTTGAAGTCTGGAATTCCAGAAACTGGGCGGTCTGTGTGCTTCGCAGAACGAAGGCAAGCTTCGGGTGCCACAGTTTTGATGCCTTCGTGTGCAAACTAGAAAGCTCCATCTTCTCCATCTCCTATTCATCAGAGAAGATGGCTTTCATCACCATGACGACCCAGTTGCGCAAGGCCAACTCCCAGGATGCCAGGATGCGACAAATTGCCTTTATCCTCGCCTCCCGTGAAGCCCGCCTCCTGCTGGCATGGAGTCTGGAGACATGAATCGAAATCCTGGAAAAGTCTTTGGCGAACTCTTCGCTTAATTAACAACAGTCTGAACTGAAAGTGTGTTCCCGGTGTTGCTAGAACTATGGTGTTTGATTTGTGTGTTTCCCTTGAATCTTCTTGCCATTGGCTTCTGGCACGAGGTACGACAAGCCAGTAGGCAAATGTGCTTCTTGAAGAAAATAAAATCATCCTTGCGGGTGGGAGTGCCTCGCAGTGGGTTTGTAACACAGTTGAAGCTCGGACGCGCGCTCAAGGTAAAGCTTGGCGGGCCGAAAAGGCAAAACCCCTTTGCCAGACTCGAGCGCCACGCTGCCAAGCACAAAGCAAAACAAATATGTCCTGCTCGGCTAAGAGTCTTCTGAGCGCAGGCTTCCCGACACCCTCCTCGGGGCCCGTGCCGAACGCAGCCCTGCCACGGCCTGATAGCTCTTGGCTTCCCTCGAGGTGGAAAAGCACATCCAGCAGCATAATCCATGCAATTCTGGTCTTGGTTATTTCTATAATGAGTAAGAACAAATGCTCATCTTCACTGAGATGGCCTTCGCACGTGGCCCTGAAACCACTAGGTTCGTGGATTTCAAAGTCAAGGTGCCGTTTTCGTACTGTTTTCGGGGTTCGGGCCTTTGACTGTCGAGCATGACGGATCCTGGGATTTGGGGTTTCGGTCGGAGGGTTCAGAAAGCAGGATTTCAGCTTCATGGCTTTAGTCTTGAGGAACCAGATTCTTCAGGCGACAGTCAGCTGTCATTCCGCCTTGATGCCGGGAAGTCGCGTGGCAACACCTGAAACCCTGAGTGTGAATTTTGTAGCGAGTACTCGCAAGACCCTAATGGCCGCCCGAATGCGCAGCCCAAACCGCGCGATTCCAACCCGAAGCCTCAAGGCCCGGCTCCAAGGCTGCAGGCCTTGGCCCAGCAGTTAAAGGGTTTGCGACGGTTTCCGATCGAGGTGCTGTCACGGGACTTCTGTTTTTCTGGAAGGGGGGAGGGGCGGTTCATGATGTATATTATATGTCGGCGGTGGCCGCCGAGTCTGAGAACAAGCAACCTGCAATTTGCAAAAGCACGATAAAGCACGCTTCGCATCATTGTAGGAGTGATACGATGGAGGGAACTTCTTTCACCACCCAGACGATGGCCACGATGCCCACCCCACCGTTGATCCAGACGAGTTGAGACTAAACTCAATACCTGGCGTTGCTTTGACGACGATCAATCTCAGGCCTAGGCACAGCACATCAGCTTTGCAGAGTGTGGGACCGTGAAATGTCCTTTTTGCCCAGACCAGCTACAATGGTGCAAGAGTCTTCCTCTGGGGAGGGGCTGTGGGCTATCCCAACTCTGTGTTCCAACCAACTTGTCTTCGCATACGGATGAGTAGGTGCAAGCTTTGGGCCCCTTTAGGCACTTCAGGCTTTGGGGACCAGCCCTTGGCCATGAAAGCTAGACACGAAGACGAAGACCGGGCTATCGACCATGAGACCTCCTGGCGCCCGAGACTTTCGGCTCGAGTTTCGTCCGCATCAACTCCACACTCCAAAACTCAGAATACTCAGAGCTTAACCACGTTTAAAGTTTACGTGTCTACGCCGAGAGAACCGTGACAATCCCTTCCGAAGTTTCGAAGAAGCCGTTTGGCACCGACGGGCAGGTGCAAAAGCCGCTTCGCTGGCAGTGGCCGCGAAGCCGGTCGTGATGCCTCGACCTTGGAGCCTTCCCAACCTTTCAGGCACCGTGTTGGGTGCCAAACAGGCGATGTCGGCGATGTTCGGAGGTTCGCGGGTCCTGTGCCTGTGCTTCGGTTTTTTCTTACGACCAGCTGCCAACCCGGAGCAGCTTCTAGAAGGGCTTGCATCGACATGTTTGGATCGACACAGCTATGCTGATATTCCCAGTCCGCACTTGAGCTTTGCGACCTCAGGTTCCTGTGTCTTGCGGATTTCAGGGTGGCAGCTTTCAATTGGCCCTTTTGCTTCGGGGCACTTCAACGAAGGTGGCTTTGCACGGAAACTTTGAACTGTTACTCTGCTTGAGAATGGGGATTTCCAAGATACTGTATTCGTGAACCTGGCATCCACCTTTTTATGCAGTCGCGATTTCGGGATGCTTCCGATGATGTGGACGTTGAGAGAGAGGTTGCAGGCCTTTGAGGTTTTCTGGCGATCGAAGTTCGTATTTGGCCTCCTGCGCGCAGCCCCGCCTCTTTTGAGGGTTGGATTCCTCGAATTGCCGAAGCATTCAGGCGGTTAACAATAAGGCCTGAAAGCACCACAGACGATCTGGATTCCGGATGATGTGTAAATGTGTAGGTAAGGTTCCAGGTCTTGGGAGAAGTGGCCCCTGACAGTTCAGGATGGTCAGAAGCCAAGCAGTCGGCGCAGTAGACATATGAAGAGCCACTCCCTGTGCGCTTCTCAAGCATGAAGTTTGAACCCCGATTCTGTCCAGTGAGCCCTAGGACAATCGGCGCAGAATTTGTCGGCATGCTCATCGGGCGAGTGCACCTGGCATGTTCACAGCGGCGTTCAGCTCAGTACCTCTCGCAACGGTCGAAATCAGGGGTCGCAGAATACACATGCTTAGACGAAGGCTAAATAAACTCATGCTGGCTCTTTGCTCGAGTTTTTGAGATTGGCGGTGACAAGCTAGGTTTTTGTTGCCCTCATTTTGGTTCCGTGCTTTTGTACATGCTGCTGAGAAATTGTAGTGCGTGTCGGCATGAAGCACTGCCCAAGCACTCAGCTGCAAATCCTAAACCCAGAGCCTTGAATCTCTGATGTCCTGTGCCAGGGCGGTGAGGTCGTCAAGCAGCTTTCTACGGCCCGCCTCTCTGGGAAGGTTTCAGGAGGTAGGCTTGGCATCAATGTTTATGGAATCTCTTTTGGGTTCGATCTGGTCAGGCGCAGAGAAGTGCCTGCCTTCTGGCGTCATGCTGGCAACAGCCTACTTCCAGAGCCCACCGCAGGTCCTTCATACATCCCAAACCGGAGACTCTCCCAACCGCCATGCTCGGTGAGTCGTCATCATCAAAGCATCATATACCCAAAGTCCCAAGTCCAGCCCAAGCCCTGAAATCCTAAACCCTCTGAATCCGCAGTCTTGAATTGAAATAGCGCTTCAGAGTGCTCTGCTGTACAGGGAGGATCACTCAGGCTCAAGGGTTTCATCGGGTTTGGAGCCGTGGAGTTCCTGGGGACCTGAGGAGAGCGGAGCACGCATCGAGATTTCCAAGACCGAGACAGAGGGCGCCAAAGCGGGCGAGCCGGGGAGCCCTGGTGGGGGCATAGGGCACGCTGGGGCACGGCCTTAGCCTCGAGGCTTTGGCCTGGGGTCTTAGGGGCGCAACACTCGGCATGTGAGAGTTCCGATCCGAGTCTTCATCTTTGCTTCATGCGGTTCTGATGACTGCTGACATTTTCATCACGTCGTTGGGATCTCAACCGGACCCTGATGAATGCTGATTCCAACGTGCCATCACTGCGATAAAACGAAGCGGCGGTGCCGGGTTCCCATCCCGGCTCTGCGCGCGCGCGTTTTCTGACACTTGCACTGAGGCGAACTGTGTACATCAGTGGACTCCAGGATCGGGCCTGGGGCAGATTTGGGACAAAGGGCGGGTAGTGATGGGTCGGGGGGGGGGGGGTAGCGGGGAACTTTGGAATTGGTGCCAGGGAGTTGAGGAGTATAATGGGTCGAATGGGTCGAATGGCAATTGCTTTCTGCTTTGACCGTGGTAGCTTTCGCTCGACTTCGCTCCAGGGCTTGGGCTGAGTTCCCGAAGCAGCAGACAGCTCAATAGCCGTTGCACAGAGCTCTTGTTTCCTTCGACTGTTTGCTGGTGTTTAGCTGCATATCCGTATCAAATCTTCAAATCCAGAAAAGTTTATGCAGGTTTGAGGCCTCAAGCCCAACGCACTCAAGGTTCCGGCTCGTGATGGCTTGCAGCCCTGCAATTCAAGTCCGAGCAGGGTGTGGAGGATGTTCGGCAGGAGTATTTTCGGCTTTTTGGCTGCAGGACGCGGTAGACAAGGCAAAGAAGCTCATCGACGATGCGATCGAGAAGGTCGTTGATCTTGCCAAGTCCAGGGTTCATACAGATCAGTTCAAGGTCTTCAATTATTTCGGGAGGTACTCGGAATTGGTGGCATTGCAGTTACAAGAGTTGTGGCTTCCATATCCTATGTGTTCACTCAGGCAGAGACACCAATATCAACTCATACAGACATGCTCAGACAGTTAACGGAGCGTTCCTGAAGCAAGGCATGCAGGGTAGAAATGATCCAGCCAGTTCTCAGAAAGGGTTAAGGGCTTTTCAGCCCAGCCGCAGCTCGGCCTGGCAGCTCGGAGATGATCGAACCTGACACTTGAAATCGATCTTTACGCGCTCAGATGCTCAGCGAAGCAGGTGTACAGCGCAAAAGAGCCCGTAAAAAGCCAATCAGGCCCAAGTTTGGATTCGAAAAATGCAGCATCGGTTTGTTGGACTCATGGATACTGCCTGAAATGCAGCATCTCTGGGTTGGTATGGTCAGGGGACGCAGATACAACGTCTTCGAGGGTGACATTTAAGCCTTCTTCCTGCACTAACCCCTCATTTTGCCGGCCCATTATAAAGATGCCGGGCTGCCGGGCTTCGCCAGAGGCCAAAGAACGCACTGGCCAGGTTAACCCGAACGCCAGGGGCTCGAGGATTTACCATGACGAGCTAGCCCCTGGAAAGCGGAGCCTGGAAGCTTCCAGCGATGTCCGTGTCTTGCACAGCGCTCTTCCTCACAAGCCGTCTCTAATTCCTTGGGCTGCTGATCTCTGTACCTAGAGCTTGTAGCCTATGTGCCTAGTGCCTTCAGCATATTACAGGTTGGCCTTTACCGGCATCTCCCGAAGGCCGATCCTGTAAGTCCCGAGCTTCCAAGGCCTGCACGCTGAAAGTGCCCCACGAGCTGATAGGCATGCTCATTGGCCGAGGGGGCGAGACCATCAAGGACCGATGGGGGTTGCCAGGTTGGGGGAATCCGTGATTTGGAGCTACGTCCCTCCAATGCTAAGGCAGCCTTCCTCATATAACGCGGCCATGAGCACGGGCTTCAGGTCTGTCGAACTGAGTGCTTAGTCACTGATTCCGTCCGATGCTGCTTGCTGATCCAACTTTTCTTGTCATGGTATAGGTAGAAGTTGCGTGTCTTCAAATTCTCGAGCTGCAATTTTGTGTTAGCGCTGTCGGCAGAAGCATGGCGGCTTCAAGGGTGCCGCTATCGCTTGTAAGACTGCCGAATTATGGCATGCGACCATCAGCGCCGAGCCAGTCACACTTTCTGAGTGCACGAACAGAAGCTGTGAACTGACTTATCTGGATGCTTTCACACCCTCTTCGCTGGACTTGAACAAGCAGGCGGCGGGAGCTAAGCTTAGTCCGAGCATGCTTTTGGTCACCGCCGTCGGGAGGCTCTGGTCTCCTTGGAGCTGATGCCCGACTTGCGCATGCAGCGGTGTATTCACAGTTTTGGATGCAATGGAATGAACGTTTGTTTATGCTCTGAGGCTCCTAGGAGGGGAACAGAAACGGAAACTGCGTTTGTAGGCTCGAAACGAGCTTCAGCTCACGACAATCTGTTTCTACTCCCTCTTATGGCCGGCCATCACTCTAAGTGTGTAGACACGGACATGGCGTAAGCACATTGGCCTAGTCCAGAAAGTCTTTCTTTGGGAGCTGTTGATGCCAACTTGAGGATCTCAAGAAGGAAAGTGGAGCCCGTTCCTGCCCCGGCTCACGGTTCCCGGAACGGGACGGGATTGAGTCACCCAGTTCAAAGCTGGCGTTGGGTTCAGCTTTGGGGCCTCCTAAGAATAGGTGAAAGACTTGATGTGTAGAGATTCGGGTTTCCGGGTTTGGGGCTGGATGCACCAACCTGATGCCTCCTCAGGCTGCAGCCCCGAAAACCCATCCAGCAGACCCCAGGCATCGACATCGCCAAGGAGGCTGATGAAGAGGGTTCCACAGACAGTGGAAGCCCCAAAGATCGCAGACAGATTTTAGGGCCAACTTCAGTTGTTGAGAGGCATTTGGGACGAGTTGTCTTGCACACTGAGGAAGCCGGGCATGTTGATGGCTTGCAGTGGTGTATGACTGCGGGCTAGGGTGGCGGTGCCACGGCTCCAGCTTCCCACTCCAGTCTGACTTCAGATGGTTTGTCAGGCTGTCTGCCGGATTTCGGTGAGTTCCGGCTGAAAGTACTTGGGGTTGTCGGTCCGGGGCAGTGGGGAGGCGAGCAGGTCATTGCAAAGTAGCAACTTTTCCACTCCTGAAAGCCTGCTGAGGCCGGATGCGCTCCCCGAATAACAGACCCAACTCAACACCTTGTGTTAACTGCCCAAATTCCCAAACACGTGGCGTTTCGATTAACGAAGCCTGAGGCATGAAGCTAACGAAGGCCCTAAAGCCTGCGAATCTCCCAGGGCAAGTGCACATCACGGGTCCGCCGGAGTGCGTGGAGTTTGCTCATTGGCTGCACAAACTTTCGGTTTCAACCGCCAAGCTATAGTCACCGTAGTCGTCATCAGCACATCTCTCCAACATCGAAGAGAAACTCCTCTTAGAACTTCACGTTCTGGCCCGCAAGGCAAAGGCCCCCAGCATTATTTATATGAGTAAGCACCTTGTAGAAGATCCTGAATTTCGCGGGCACAAGTAAGAGTTCAGGATGCTCGCAAGATTGTAACCGATTGTAGTGATGCAGAGAAGGAATATGGAATAGTCACTGTTGTGCCAACATTGGTTCACATGATCGGTTGCAGTAGTTGCAGTCACTCATGAATCCCAAACTGCAAGAAAGCGTTTGATAGAAATAAACATGACAGAATGGCTGCAGCTTTGGAGCGCTTAGGCGTACATCATCACTTTATCGATGTCCTCATAGGCTGTTACAAGAATCTAAGGTTCTAATAGAAGACGAGTATGGCACGTCCAAGACTGCAGTTCAGAGTGCAGGTATTAGACAGGGCTGCCCTCTTTTCGCCGCGTTTGTTTGTTCTGGTCATGAGCGTTATTGATCATGTCGTTAGCCGGAATATCACGGCTAGAACGCGAAATGCACGGTTCGAAAGACTTGACGTTGACACAGTGTATCATGCTGACGACGCACTTACTATCATAACATGCACGCAAGCATGCAATAACCTGTTGCACGAAATAGAGAAGATAATCAGCTCATTTTGGCCTAAGATTGAACAGAGACAAGTTCTCTTATGTTGCAATGAACGGTAACACTATCATTAAATTCGTTGATGAAACACGATTAAAAACGGTAAATAAGGCAACTTAGTCTGTATCTAGATCTAGATCTATATCTATACCTATATCTGTGTCTATCTGCCAATCTTTCTATGTAACACCTAAACACCCAATGCCCTAAACATCCATTAACCTATCTATCTATCTATCTATCTATCTTCTGCCTTGGTATCTACTTATCTACCTTCCTGCCAGCCTAACCTACCTAGCTATCTGTCTGTCTGTCTGTTTTCCCCCTATCTAGCTATCTACCTCGAACCTACCTACCTACCTACCTACCTACCTACCTACCTACCTACCTACCTACCTACCTGCGTACCTACCTATTATCTATATATCTCTTTGTTGCGTCTCTCTCCCTCTCTCTCTCTCTCTCTCTATTTATCTACCTGCCTACCTACGTACCTAGCTAGCTAGCTAGCTATCTATCTATCTACAGGTCTTTTTATCTCTAGCTAGCTAACCCTCGATGAAGTGCGCCGCATATGCAGCGCAACCTACCTACCTCCTATACTGAAAGCGATTGTCTATGGTGAAACATTTCATGCGCATTGCAACTTGCTCTAAGTACAACAGCAATCAGGGTGCAACCCATCTCTGTTCTTCATATTATGTTTTGATGCATCTATATCTCTATTCTGCTCTTATTTCAGTCAGTATTTTGAGTTCCCGGCCCGTCCATCGGTACGAGTACACCATCGATCCTTCCATCGAATATCTTTCCGCTTCTTCGTAGCTCTCAGCACGTGCATGTATGCATGTATGATCGCAGTAAACACCCAGGCCAAGAAGATGATCGAGGACATGCTCGGTAAGTCCCGGGAGTCCCGTGAGGGCAAAGACGGCCAGAGGCCGACTTGCCGGGTGTCCATGAACGGTCCAGGTCACGGCGTGCGACGGCTTGTGGCTTTGGGGGGTCGCAGCTTGCATCTTTGGAGCTTGCAGCCGAAACTGTTGAGCCGAAACTTGAAACTCCGCAAGCATCAATCCTATGCCAAGGCATTCCTGATCCACACCCGTCGTAGACCTTGGACCTCCAAAGCTTCAAGCTCGACATGCCAGGAAGCCCGGGGGGCGGGTCATCAAGGCGCCCTGCCATTGCCCTGCCATTGGCCATCTTTGCCCATACTCAGCCCGTTTGAGTATTTTCCACCCATCAGTTTGAGCTGATGCAGAGACACGAAGTTGTTATTACCGAGGTTCAGCTCCTGATTCTGATTTAGGGCATGAGACATTTTCAAGTCGAGCACTTGGTTGAGGAATTCCAAGCTGTAGTTTTCAGGTCCGCAGCCTAGAATCTAGAAGGATGCGGATGCTTCGGAAGTTCAGCACGACTTCCTGGACCGAGCGAAATCTTGCACCCAAGGCCCCGAGGCTGTAAAGCTACAAGTCTACCCTTAATATATCCCAAATGCTTTCAAGATCTCTCCGCGGCTGCATGGAGCGAGAGTGAAACCACCCGTCTTCAGGTTGCGGAAAGAGCGCAGGGCTTCAAGTCATGGGTCTGTGATGCTCAGCAGGTTCCGACGGACATGATCGGTCCAGCCCCCAGAGTGCGAAAGCTTTGGAGTGTCCCGATTCCAGAGTATCACTCCCGAGGTACTGGGACGATCTCTAGTTTTAGCAGGAGCGAAGAAGTTTTCAGAAAGAGCTGAGGCAACTATTGAGAGAGTTGAAAGCACCCTCCCACCTCCGATTTTGCAAAACCCCCTCCAGACTTTGCCCAAATTTCCCACGGCTTGGGATGTTAGATTCAAGCGGTCTGTGCTCGAGGTGTCCTCATCGGTCGGGGTGGCGAGACAATCTCGAAGATCCAGCGCGAGTCCAGCGCGCGGATCGAGATCCATAAGGCCAACGGTCCAAGACACTTCCCCTGCTTGGCGCTTGGAGTCTGATCTGGGGTTTTCTGTAACGCAGGCAAGCTCTGTCACGATGATTACCACGAGCTTGTTCAACTGGAAGTCGGCAGGATGACCGGGAAGCCCTGGACCGTCAAGTGACCATCACCGGGTCTGCGGACAACGTCGAGAAGGCCTTGAGCCATGCATGCGCCTGGACAAAACCTCAATCCCGGACCCTAGCGAAGCCCCAAGCTTCAAGGTGCCCAATGGCTGGGAATTGAAGACGAAATTAAGGTTTAGCAAGTGTCCTGGGGGAAGGGTTTTCAAGGACAGTCTCATGCTTGCCATGGACCTCTAAACAATCCAGACCGAGGCCTTGTGAGTCCATTTTATACCCTCACCAGCCCCCAGCGACATGCAGGCCATCCGGGCCATCGACGACGTCCTCGATGGCGCAGAGAGGGCTGGGAAAGGCTCCCGGCGTGCGGACCCCGGTAAAGACTTCAAGCATGCAGGTCTCATTTCAACCCGCCTTGTCTGTGCCCGAGTTTTTCGCTCTTATGACTCTTATGTTCATCCCTTCTTGTTCCGGCAGAGGTGGTCTGGAGGGTGTCTTGAAGCTCTGTTGAGAGGGCAAGCAGTTCTTGACAGCACGTTCAACATACGGATTAGGACAAATATCTGCAGAGCACTATGAATAAGTACAGCCATGTTGCACCGAGTTGCTAGTGCCGTCATGCTTGTGACCAGTCTTCATCCCAAAGCCCCACGCTCAATTTCACTTCCGATAACACTTCGCCTTGGAGCTGACCCTAATGCCAGGAGCCAAACACGGAAGCCCATAACAAGACTTGTAAGACAAGAGACCCTACAAAAGTGTTCCAGGAAGTTCAAGGACGTGGAGCGGATTGTGCCGAGCAAGTTTGATGTTTCGGGAGTGCCGCAGACGAGAGCTGTTGCGAGGTAGGTTTCTGCAGTTCGGACGGGCCTACCAGTCCGGAAATTAGGCTTCCCCAACTCAGCCGACTCAGCATCCACTTCGAAGCTCCAGGCCGAAGGGACCACGACTCGCCCAGCCCCCGGTCATTCTCGAAGCATTTCGAAGCCTAAGGTGAAGGGCTGGGAGCTCAGGGTTGCTTCTACCACGCCAATCAGCTTCTCTTGCTGGGGTTGAAGAACACATCTTAGCATTGCCCCGTTCCAAACAGACCAGGGCACGTGGGAGCCCCAGAGCTGCTTTGAACCTTTAATGGTTCTTTGTTCGGGAGCGCTTCATGAAATGCTATTGCGCTATTCAGACTTAGAGTGCTTGCTCCACTGTAAGGCATGAGGTCACCAAACCAAGTCACAATACTGGCATCCAAGACGAACCCCCAAACGCCTACCAAGGGGGGGAGACGAGGCCTTGCGGGGTAGGAAAGTTGAGAGTTGGAAGAGTTGGAGGCTGAAGGTACTTGCTAGCCAGTCGAGTTTGGCTTGCGGTGGATTCTTGATCAGAGGTGAGGGCGGGTTTGGGGCTTTGTGCCAGTGTCTTGCTTCAGACGAGCTTTGAAAAGCATCGTATCGTAGATTGCAGAGCGTTCTACTGAACCTTATATGCTTGTTGGGAGCGACGGCAATTCGCTCACCAAGGCATTCAATCAAACATAAAGCATGTCGACCAGTCCAGACGAGCGTTACATACAACATCTTCGGGCCCTTCAACCGTGTGGATGGGACATCACATCAAGCCTGTCTGTGCGCTCTTAATTGAACTGTGTGTTTCGGCTGCTTCTGTCAGGTGACAAACTCACTTGTCATTTGCTGACGCTCACACCGAATCACCGGATCCTCTATTTTGTTTCGACAAGCATCGTTATGCTTTGGAGAGCCCGTCCAGTATGTTGCCTGTGGGGCAGGCATAGTTGAAACCCCAAACTTTGAAGTCTGGGCGCACACCTCCACACCGGTACACCACAGCAATCTAAGCCGGTGTATCTATGGACTTGGGCTCACTGTTCATAGGCTCGATTTACGGATTTCGCAGCTGAGTCGTGGCGTACGTAGGGTTTTTGCATTACTTGAGACCAACCTAAACTGAGCTCCATTTCAATGCTCAAGACGGTATCCTGGCAGGGAGCACTGGTGCCTTTGGACCGCAAGCCTTCACCTGTCCGAGACAGTAGCTCCTTGGCGCTCTCCTCTTGGACTGGCTTTAGACGGGCGAGATAATGTGCGAAGATCTTTAGTAACTTTAGTAAGCCCTACAGATTTCTAGATCCTGGCCCGAAGTCGTCAACGGCACGGAGCCCAGGCTGGCTGTCGGAGAAGGTGTACATCGACGAGGCAGCGTTGCTTCCTTGTTCAGAGGTCCAATAGTAGCGATTCACGAGAACGCTTCCAAGCGCCAACCATGCAGGGCTCATCCAAGCACGCTCGGGTTTAGGAGGCCAGAATCATGCTGGCCTTCTTGCCTTGTTCAGACGGTTGGGTTTTGTGGTTGGTGTGTCTAAGTTTTGCGATACGGGGAGCTGGGCAGCATCTTCGTGTTGAGCTCCGTGGTGTTCCAGGCTTAAGGTGCTGCACTTGTCACTTGACGCAGATAAACGGCGGCAGCAGTCGCGAAGCTGAGGTCGAGATGCCTTACAGGCCGAACTACCTGCCGGACCACGAGGATACAAGTTTCCGCCTCTTCTGTTTTGGTCCCTCCAATTTTGTCAATGTTGTTTGATTAGTTTGCTTGTGTTTGGAGTTAGGGCTTCGGGTGATTTCTTTGGAGTTCCGAGGAGCATTTTGTACTCGACAACAGTCTTTTCAGAGCGCTTCATCCCGGCAAGTGAGCATTGGTCGCAGGGCCCAGTGCGGCAAAACAGTGAGCCCTTGCAGACGGGCGCTTCAGGTTCGTGTTGCGGGGTCATTTCTTCCAAAACTTCGAAGTTTGATAAGTCTAGATCTTTGAACCTCCGACTGCAGTGCTTGAAGACGGAGTCATAGGACGGAATGCCTACGGACTTGGAGATCTTCGTCCGGGGCCTTCCCAAGGCTCGCAATGTGATTCGAGCTTAGGGTGGGCCGAAGGTTGAGAACCTGGAGTTTGCTTCTGGGGAATCCATTGCCTTGCCTCCGGAAGGTCTGCGCCGAACGAGATCTGTGGGAGCATCTGTACAGGCCGCCCGGGTGAATTTTCACTGACGTAGACACTAGTGTATCGCGTTGAGGCCGGCGCGGCCTCGGAAACCAATCGTTACATGCTGAAGCAGAAACACCACTCGCAAATTTGTGATTGTGGGTTCTGTGAGCAGGGCGCGGGTGTTTCTGGACATGTTCTGACGACTCACTCCTTCTTTTTCTAAATGTCCCCTTGTAATGCGAATTTCTTGAGCGTTGCGATAGGACCTTATGCCGGGCACAGCCCTGTGTTGAATCTGAACTTGTGTCGTTGCGGTTGCCGGCACAGAGCTGCAGCTTCTCCCTTTGCTTCGACCCTGAGGTCTCTTTGCAGTTCCGGATTCCTGACTTCCCCCCCTCCCCCCCTTGCCGTGCAGAAGGATTTGTCAATGCAGAGCCTAGCTCCCGGGAAATGGGATTAAGTGTCTTGCGCCGCAGGCTTGGAGCGACCGACGTGAAGGACGGTCCAAGCTTGAAGCGCCTCCGAAATCCAACCTGAACATGGCTGCACATGAATTACACCTCTGCGAGCGTTGAACCAGAGTTAAAGACTCATAGATTGGAATTCAGTGTCTTTCATCTCATCCCGCAATGCCAGCGAGCCTGACCATAGTGCCGAGGATGTGAGTTTGGAGAGCTTAGGAACGAATCCAGCGGCATCACGAAGGAAGTGTCTTGCAACCGGTTGGGGTGGCAGTCTGAGAGTATTTTGGGACCTTTTCAGGGTCGCAGAGCTCAGCCAGCATCTAGGTTCCCTAATCAAGTTCGAGGTGAGCAACGGGGAACCTCATTTCTGGGATGTTTTCGGTTCAAGTCACTTTTATAAGTTTTGGAGAGAGCACCGAAAGCTTCAAGATTATGGCGAGGGGTCGCAAATGACGCTGAGATTTTCAACCCCAGGAGATTTTGCTGCTGCGTCGGCAGAAGCAGTCCAAGGGAATGGCGGTGCGCGCAGAGCTTTCGGATGAGCATTCTTGGGGAAATGGATTTGAAAGTTGACGTGGGTGGCAGATTTGGCAGGGGAAGGCTCGATTGTTGGGATGAGGGTGGCAATGTGCCCATCGAGCCCAATGTCCCCGCCCAAGCGCTGCAGTCCTCCAGACTTGTCAGAGACCTCGGAGATTTGATCCTGTAGCCCAAACTTTTAACCCCAGGTGACCAAAGGCAAAGAAGCCCAAAAGATCTCTGCAGCTGCATCTACAAATCCGATCCCCGAAGACCCGAGTTTGATTTCCTGCCCCTCGCGCAGTACGTCGTCTTCAATCGCCACGATCATGCCGTGATCGCCAAAAACAAGCTCCAGGCTGCGACCTTTTTCGAGTTTTTTGGCACGACAAGATAGGATGCATACTAATCCTAGACAAGTTCACGAAGCTGTACATGAACCCATGAAGGCTGCCAAGATTCTAGGCATTGTGGAAGAGAGAACTCGTGCTGCATTCTGCATTCTTATGGTTCACCTCCGAGCATGTGGCTTGGATTGCTTGTCGATTTCAAGCACGGCATCCGGGACCTGTTTCGGGTAGTCCGGCTTGGGTGCGAAGCACTGAACAAGCCTCAGGGCACCCCGGCCTCGTCCATACCCTGCGGTGGCGAACTTCAGACCGAGGCTGGCTGTTGGGGCTGGGAGCTTTAAGGATTTTGCATTCTGGCCGCATGGGTTTGGTTCAGAGCCTTACAATTTCGGCCATGAAGTTCAAGGTTTGGGTGGAAGAGCGTTTGAGACGGGTTTGCAAGGCCTGTCTCGTGTCTTTTGAAAAAACCGCAGCAGCACCTGCTGCTGGTGCTGCTACTGCGCTGCAGAGAGCCCTCCCTGCTCTCAGCTGCCTAACAAGTCTGAGGACCGACCGACGACATACAAAAACCTGATGCCTCAAATACCATACTCGAATCCCTAAACTCAAGCATAGAAACTCTTGAAGCTGAAACAAAAAATCCGTCAAGACTCCCGAGACTCCATATCGATGCGAGTCCAGGAGAAGCAGAGCCTTTACGTTCGTTTCTCGGAGTCACGGGCTTAGTGGCTTAGCGAGATGTCCTGAGCGATGTTGGTTCGTGGTGCGGGTGCAAGAAGGCATTCCGCCGGGGTGGGGGGTTCAGGGCTAGTGATGGTGAGCAACTCGTGCGTGGTAAACCTTAGCCTTATCCTCATGAGCACTAACCACAATACTGTATACTAGTCTAACCGTGAATACGATTGTTTTGGCCCCCACCGCAGCACTGAAAGAGCATTACAGAAACAAAAGCAGTTCCTCAAGTGTTCGTCCGATCAGCAAGGCTCAAACTGGCCTGTGTGTGTAGACCCGGGTTAAGAGTTAGGGTCTGTGGCAGTCTGTGGATATGAATGGCGCGGCATTCAGGGTTTTTACGCACATGCATGCATGCAAACATGGATGGTCTCTGGTTCAAGCATGAGTCGGTTTTGCCCAGGTCCGAGCGCTGCATCAATGGACGCAGCAATGTGTATGGTGCCGACATGGTGGCTCGGATTGAAGGCGTAGGAGCCCGCCTTTTTTGGTAGCCGGAAGATATTTTTTGGCACTGCACTGC